TTTTCCTGTCTGATAAATTCGGAATTATCCAGATTGCCCTTCTCAGCATGATGGTGGCTCATCTGTAGCCCTGCCTCATTGTGGGCAACTTTGGTTCTGTTCACAGAGACGGGGGCAGGGACCCCAGCCCACACCCCCGTTCCCCTCTGTTAATAATGAGACAGGGCCCCAACGTCACCCTCCCACCATGAGCCCTTAATCCCTCCATCCCCAGGTGACACGTGAGCCGCCTGGTCTCAGCCCTTGTCTCAGGCTGTTGCACCATCCCAGACTGAAAAGGCAGTTTGAGGGGTCAGCTAAGTGGCTGGTCCCCCAAACTGGTTGGGTGTTAGAATCAGCTGGGGAACTGTCTACACGTTCAGTTTCCTGGATGTCCAGGGGGGCAGAGAGGGAGGCCCGTTCGTTGGGAACCAGCGGTCTCAGCGCCTATATGCAGGTAACACTCAGACTATTCCAAATCTTGCTCTTGTGTATGTGGTTGGTCACTCAGTCACATTTGACCCTTTGAGACCCCGGGCTCCTCTATCCATGGGATTTTCCAGGCAAGCATACTGCAGTGGGTTGCCATTTCCTCCTCCAAGGGAATTTTCCCACCCCAAGGATCAAACCCTAGTCTCCTGCACCGGCAGGTGGATTCTTTACCACTGAGCCACCAAGGAAGCCCCCTGATGATTTGTGACCCAGATCAGGAAGACATGGTTGCATTAAAGGATGTGCAGTATTACCAGATGTCGTCTCCTTAAGGCAGAAGCCTTGCATTCCCACAGAATCTGTAATTTCTTGTCCTGGTGTGACCTCAGGGGGCTGGGGGCAGCTCTCTCTCTGTGGCCCTAAGAGTGCTGTACTTGATGAAATCAGCCCTCTTGGTTCCTCCAGGAGCCCCAACAAAGAAAGGGTTCAGAACTTCCCTGGTGGGCCAGTGGTTAAGACTCTGCACCTCCATTGCAGGGAGCATGGGTTCCATCCTTGGCCGGGGAACTAAGATCCCACATGCTGTGCAGTACAGCCCCAAAATAAAACAAGGTAAATAATTTTTTTGAAAAAAGAAATCAAAGAAATAGATTTGGCACTGAGAGGTCATTACTCTGAACTTCATATTTCTCACTTTGGGCTTTCACTTGGAGTTCAAAATTCGGCGGCATAGCCAAGCAAAATGCTGTCTAAGACTGAATTCGAGGGGAGGGCAGGCCCCTCACCCCTGTTGTTTCCATGGTTATCTAACTGATTCCTCTGAAGGGATGCTGGGCCAGGAATCACAGACCCAGAAAGATTCAGCTCATTTCTTACTCAAACCATCTTTCCCAAAGTCATTGCCCCACTCTGGACCTCAGTGTCCTCATGTAAAAATGCCAAGACTGAATGAGGTTACCTAGAATCTTGCAAAGTGTGGCCCAAGGGGGCTGGTTAGAAACACAGACCTTGAGACTCCACTTCAGACCTGCCTAATCAGAGTCTGCAGGTAACTCACGTGTGCCATAAATTTCAAGAAGCGTGGTTCTGTAAGGAACCGACATCAGGTGAGACCAAAGCAAGACCTTTGCATGGCGCCCCCACGAGCTGAAGAGGCCAGCTGCTCCCTGCACCCTGGGTTTCCTGGTGGGAGAGGGAGCTCCTTCCAATTGGGATGGCCTCTCTCGGGCCGGCTTAGGGGATGGGATGACACAGGCAGAATGAAACGGTCTTCCTTGACTTCTTGTGTGGTTATCCTCTGGGCTTTTGTTGCACTGTGTTGCTGAAATTTCTTACATGGACTCTGGACTCTCCCAGAGCTGTTCTGTTCATGGCCAGCCATCTCATAGTTGATCTCGTCAGAGACAGAGAAACTGAGTCTTCCTCCATCACTGTTTTTCTGTAGGCTTTAGTGTAAGGTACTTTCTCGAAGCCTCAAATTCAGTGCCTTGGAAACCACTCTTATTCTCCTGTACCTTCCCTGTTGTTCTCCCCCCAGTTCCTTTTGTGAAAGCCTGTCTCAAAGACCATTCTGGTTCCTGGTGCCACCAGAGGCAAGGCCACTGCTCATTCATACCTCTGGGTTTTTTCATACCAAGGACCAGAGGCCAGGAACACAGGAGAGATGGATAAGCTAGGACCAGTCAAGAAAAGAACTGTGGTTAAAATTCTAAGCGAGCTTCATGCATGTCTGGGTCACTGGACAAGTCAGCATCGCAAAATAGATTGAATGTTGAAGGAGCAGAGAGAGGCAGAAAGCAGGTTAAAGAACCGACAGCCAGGAGAGTAGGAGCATGCAGGAAGCCTATTTTCCATCACCGCTTGTCAGAAATACAGGCTGATATATGCCCAGGAAAAAAGATTATAAATTTCCCTCACTGCTTTCTCCTGCACTGTCTTGAAGAGGACTTTGCCGTAGACTTGGAGCTGTGTTGATTGGCAATTTATTTGTGGATTGTTTTCTGCAACAGAGACTTCTGTTCTGGGCTTGCTGCAGTTCACTACAATTAACCGGCGGTTTGGTGGAAATTTCCTTTCGCCTCTAGCCAAGCTCTACATCCCATTCCACTGCACGGTACCACTATGCCCATTTAAATAGCAGGATGGGGGAAGGGATAGTTAGGGAGCTGGGGATAGACATGTATGTACACACAGCTATATTTAAAATGAATAACCAACAAGGACCTACTATATAGTACAGAGAACTCTGCTCAATGTTATGTGGCAGCCTGGATGAGAGGGGGGTTTAGGGGAGAATGGATGCATGTATATTTATGGCTGAGTCACTCTGCTGTGCCCCTGAAGCTGTCACAGCATTGTTAATCGGCTATACTCCAAATAAAAAGTTACAAAAAATAAAATAACAGGCCCCGAAAGCTGATGGAAGCTTTTTTTGTCCTGTGCTCTGTTGGAGCCTGCTGAATTTTCCCTCCTCTTCATGGTACTATGTCAGCTATTATGTACTCTCCTATATGATTCTGCCTAAGAATACTGGAGTAGGTAGCCTATCCCTTCTCCAGTGGATCTTCCCGACCCAGGAATCAAACCAGGGTCTGCTGCATTGCAGGTGGATTCTTTGCCAACTGAGCCATCAGGGAAGCCATGATTCTGCCAGGAAGCGTGGGGCACAAAAACTAAAGGGTCAACTTTTATTCATGTTTTGAGATCTGGTTCAGGAGCCAGGGACGCTGCCAAACTCTGAGACATTGGATGAGGGGCACATCCCAACCTTTGCTCGACCAAAGTGATATGCACAGTGGTGGTAGCAAATAAAGTGACTTCTTCGTGCACCGTTTGAATAAGCAGGTGATTGACCAGGTGCTGGGTGGGCTAAGGATAATGGTGAGGAGTGAATGAGATGGTGTGTGCAGTCAGCCTCCTACCAGTAAGGGGACACGTGGAATCTTTGTCAAGGCCCAGGCCCAGTCAGTGGGGCTGAGGGTCCAGATGTCAGCCTCCAAGCTCCCGAGCCCCACATCCCTGACTAGGAAAGGCCCTTCCTCCTTAGCCCTTGTCCTGCATCCTCCTCTTTTTTTATTAACTATAAATTAATGCTACTTGGTGTGCAAGACCTGGCCGTCAGTTTCCTTCCTGGGGGCTCTCCGTGACTCCCTGTCACCCCTACCTGCCTCCTGGCAGGATCAGTGGCCTCTCTGCTTGTGTAACCAGCACTGTTATCATAGCATCCTTTTTTAATTTTCTTTTTTTAAACCTCAAGACTTGGGCAGAAATAGTTCTAGAAATTAGGGCTCCTCATTCCCAACCCAGGGCTTCAGTTCAGTTCAGTCACTCAGTCGTGTCTGACTCTTTGCAGCCCCACAGACTGCAGCATGCCAGGCTTCCCTGCCCATCGCCAACTCCTGGAGCTTGCTCACACTCATGTCCATCGAGTCAGTGAGTCCATCTAGCCATCTCATCCTCTGTCGTCCCCTTCTCCTCCTGCCTTCAGTCTTTCCCAGTGTCAGGGTCTTTTCCAGTGAGTCAGTTCTTCGAATCAGGTGGCCAAAGTATTGGAGCTTCAGCATCAGTCCTTCCAGTGAATATTCAGGACTGATTTCCTTTATCTTCAGTTTTTTTTGTTTATTTATTTTTGGCCTCACCATGCATCACGTGGGATCTTAGTTCCCCAACGAGGGATCAGAGCTGTGATCCCCATGAATTGGAAGTGTGGAATCTTACCACTGGACTGCCAGGAAAGTCCCTGTCATAGCACTTTAAAGTGAATTCCCTGGTGGTCTTTCTCATTAGACTCTGAGAACCTGAGGTCAGAGACCATTGCATCCTTCCAGGTACCCTCCACACTGCCTGGCATGAATGTCTGTGTCTTTTCCGCCGTCAGTGAGGGATGGGTGGGTTCTTTGTGTTGAAAACAACCCAAATGCAAGATGTGGGGAGGGGGGCTTTCATATGTGCATGGGTATTTCTCCATGCTTATTCTGTTGTGTCATAGTCTATTGTGATCATCGAACTTTAAAACATTTTTAACTTGGCAGAGGAGATGGGGTGAGGCTATTTCGGTGACTCATGAAAGCAAGATGGCAAGACCTTGTCAAGCGGCTGCCCTCAGTGGTGGGAAGGCCTCTGTCAAAAGTCAGAGCCCTGACATCCTGATGAACGTTTCATCAGACGTCTGTGGCTTGTTTCTCTCCATCAGAACCCTGACTTTAGCCATTAATCATACAGAGCTGCTCTGAACGGGGCTCAGAAGAGCCTAGGACATTCCAAAAGGTGAGCAGACTTCGTTTTTGTACATGGATTCCCCGTGGAAGTGAGACGGCTGTATCCCGAGGCTCAGAAAAGGAGGCAGCAGATGGAGAGTGTGACCCTGTGAAATGCCGAGGGTGGGCTTTGGCAAGCCACAGGGCACAGGGGTTAAGAGCCCGGCACAGGGCCCTGCTGTCTGGGTGGGACCCCGGCCCGCCCTTGACGGCCTGCTGACCCTGGCTGAATTGAGGCAGTGGGGTCCCACTGCTCCCTCACCGCATGATGAGCAGAGCATAGTATGTCCTTCCTAAAGGGCTGCTGGAGGATAGAGCAGATGGAAGCTTTTGGAAAGCTGTGGCACATTTTCGGCACTTGCTGCTCTGGGTTCTGACTGGTCTGCCCCTCACTCGACGGGATGCTTGGGAGGGCAGGTCCCTTCTTACCCAGGCTTCTCTGTGCGTTTCCCAACCCAGCGTCATTTATCAGAGAGGGTATTCAGTCAGTACCTATAGAATGAACAGGATTGCTCCTGGCCTTGGTGGGCAGGTTGGACTGAGCTGACACTGGATAAGCAAGTAGAGGAACACATGGACTTCATGGAATTTAGTAAGTTTCATTTTTATAATCAGTGTTGTTTTTTTAAATGTATTTGGCTGTGCTGCATGTGGGATCTATAGTTGTGGCATGCAAACTCTTAGTGGAGGCATGTAGGGTCTAGTTCCCTTACAAGGAATCGAACCCAGGCCCCCAGCATTGGGAGTACAGAGTGTTCGCCCCTGGACCGCCAGGGAAGTTGCAGCGTTGATTTCTTAAACGGAACAGCCCGGAGCCCTGCAGCCACGCAGGGCCGTTCCAGCTGAATCTGTGAAAAGCTATCATGCTGCCAGTGCCAGACACTGAATCAGGAAAGAGGGGCACAAGATCCGTGACCTTAGTAATGACAGGATGTCCACTTCCAGTTGTATCGGCGACTGCAGACAGGCGTGGGAGCTGGCTGCTGCTTTAGAAGCCCTACATCCCGGCTCTTGCCTTTTTGGCATCAACAGAGCACAATGGCTGAGTCACTGAATCTTCTGCTGTAGGCAGGAAAGGGTTAGCATGGCCGAACGAGCCTTGAAAAGAGACAGGAAGGCAGCCGGGAGGTTTCGATGACTGAGTAAAACCCAGTCTGCAGCTCCCGTGGTGGGCGGAGGCTTGGTGCCTGGTCTGGACCCACCCCTCTGCTGGCCAGCCCCTGCCATAGCTGCCTAGACAGCTGAGGCTCGCACAGAGGGCATGACAGGCCCCCCAAGGAAGGCGGGCTCCCAGCTACAGGAGTGAGGGGTGCTCGGGGCCTGACTGCGCTTGAGTCTCTCCCTGTGTGGGGGAGACACTACTCAGCCTGCCACGGAATCCGCGGAGAGCAGCTGCTGTCGTGAGCCTGGGGCGGGCACAAAGGGCCCCCTCGCCGGTTTCCCAGGAGGCTTTCCCGGGTGACTTAGGTCCGGATCCCTCTATGAGATGCTGCCGGGCGGCATGATCGTGCTCCTGTGGGTGACAGTGGGGTTCTCCATCCACAGAGCGCACCCTGTTGTGGCCGCCCGGCTTCTCCCACGCCGTGTGGCCTCTGTGTGTGAGTGAGCCTGGTGCAGACCTTAATCTGGATTCCCCCTGAGGCGGACACTGCGGGCGGATTCAAGAGCAATTGGTTTATCTGGGAGGCGAGCGCAGGCTGCACTGCGGAGCAGGGAGGAGGGGGCAGATGGGGAGGGAAGGGCAGGTGGGGACCGCCACGAGGGTGAGGGTGTCAGTGGGGCATCCACCCCCCAGCTCCCGGGCCATAAGGGCTGCTCCCGGGGCTGTGTACGTACCAGCGCGTCCAGCCTGCTCTCTGCAGCCTCGGACAGAGAATCCAGGGCAAGAAGACGGGGGTGGCACGGCAGGTGCCAAGGGTATGTGAGCAGCGTGTTAGCAGCACCTGCTCCATTTTGCTGGGGGAAGGGTTGGAACCACCTAAGAAGCAATGGACAGGTGAACAGATAAACACAGTGGGGTCTCTGCACACAGTGGAATATATTTCAGCCTTGAAGGAACATGCTACAACATGGGTGAGCATTGAGGTCCTTCTGCAAAGTGAAATAAGCCTGTCGCGAAAGGACAAATACTGTGTGATTCCTCCTATATGAAATAACAGAAAAATCATAGAAACAGAAAGCAGAATGGTGCTTGCCAGGAGTCAGAGGGAAAGGAGGAAAGTGGGGTTTCTTGGGTTCAGCGTTTCAGTGTGGGCAGACAGAAAAGTTCTGAAGGTGGGTGTTGGTGATGGTGAATGCACAGAAGTGTGCGTTTAGAAGTGGTTAATTTTCTGTTACACATACTTTAGTACTATTTAAAAAGGAGGAAAACCAAGGCCCAGCATCTGGGTAGCGTCCCCAAGGCTGTTCAGTGGCTGGCCATCCCCGGTGGGGCCGGTGAAGAGCCCGAGGTGTGTGCTGCCGCCGCCTCGCCGCTGAGAACTCACGGCACAGACAGAAGAGGGTGCCCTGATGTCGGAGCGCTGATCGCTTTGCGACAAGGATGGACGTCGGGCGTGGGGCATGGCTCACCTCTCTCTGATCTCCCTGTGCTCCAGTTTTCTCTTGAGCAAAGTGAAACATGCACATTGGGGACCTAATACGTGCAGGAAGTTCCCGATGCTGAGAAAATCACGCCAGAACCTCTGCCCCTTAGGTTATGTCTTGGGATCAGGAGGGCCTGTAGACGGAGGAAGTGACATTTAGGCCAGAAACCTGATGGATGGGTTTACCAGGCTGCTAGAGGGAGGGGGCTGAGCTGGGATTGGGGGAAGGGTGAGCCATCCTGACGGGACAGTGGGGGGCATGGGAGTGGCCTTGCGGAACTGAAGGATCGAGGTCATAGAGGAGAATGACGCGATCGACTTGGCTGTCATAAAACCTTGCTGCAGGGCAGAGCAGGTTAGACTGGGTGATGGTTGAGGGAGGCAGCCGCTGGGCAGCGTGCGATGGGGGCAGGGCGCCGGCACCTGAATAGCGGCCGTGTTGCTGGTCTCACGTGAGGGTCTCGAAGGAGGGTCAGAACATAGAAACATGTCAGCATCTTCGGAGGAGAAGAACATCTGGATGTCGTAACCTCTATTTAAATAGAATTGGCAATATATTTAATCAGCTGTAATGAGGCCAGGTTTATATAAAACAGAGGCCACACGCTGCAGACCTCATTTGAGGTGGTTTGGAGGACAGCAGAGGTTGAATGACTGTCCCCCTGCCTCCTCTGGTCCCCAGGGCACTCGAGCTCTCCCAGAGGCCTTTGCCGTCCTTTATTCATATATGCTCCCGTTGTAAGGTGGAGGACGGTGGCATGCTGCCTTTCCGGCACCCTCTGTGTGGATCCTGAGCAAGATGGAGAGATGCATGTGATAAGAGCACCGTGGGTCTAGCTGGGATCGTTAGGCAGGGGCAGCTGAAGAGTTAAGTGTGTGCCTTTCATAGCCGATCAAGGCAGCCAGAAGTAGGACATGACTAATTGTTTAATGATAAATGGGACAGAAAATAAGGGACTGTAGGAAATGAGAGAGAGGGAGAGCCCCCTAGGGTTTTCCGAGCCAGATCTGAACGCTAGGAGGATACCAGGCTTGGGACAAGAGCGTGAGCTGGAGCAGCGGGCAGGGTGGGTGTGCTGGGCTGGGCTGTGGCGGGCACACCCAGGAGCCTGCGTGGAGGACTGGTGTCCACAGGTGGGAGGAGGCTGCAGGCTGCCCTCTGGCTGGGGAGGTGGCAGGACACCAGATTGTGTGCTCGGGCAAGGGGCTTGTGCAGACTGGGAAGCCGGGAGCTGCACGGGCTGACGGGTAACATGTTCAAAATGGTATTTTCGGATGATTTCCTTGCCCCAGTGGGTGGAAGGACTTAAGAGTGAGAGAAGCTGGAATGGAGAAACCATCAAGGAGCTGATAAAGGGTGTTTGGGGAGAATCAAGAACTCGAGAGGGGCAGGAACAGAAGTGCTCATCACTCTGAAGCAGCCATGTCAGGAAAGGGGAGATGGAGAGAGCCTGAACTTGCCATCCAAGGACCCACATCCCCAAACAGCCAAGGCCAGACCCTTAGACAGCTTGCTCTCCAAGCCTCAGTGTCCCATTGGGGCAGACCAGGAAGTCTCGGGGCTCCCCCAGCTTGATGATTCTGAAACTGTCTGACAGGGAGGGGTGGTGTAGGTGATGGCAAGGTAGAAGCCTGGGTCGGGCAAGTGGTGACGCCCCCAGAAGGGGGTGGGAGGAACACATTTGGGGAGCAGAATGAGTTATTTCAGACATCCTGAATGTGATGTTATGGGTGGGGCTGGATCCAAGAGGAGCCGTCTATCAGATGAAGCAGAAAGGATGAAGGTGAGAGAAACCACCGTTGGCTGTTTTGCAGGAGTCCTTGGGGATTTTTTTAAGAATACAAGGTGTGTTGGAAAGCAAAGCTGTGTGTCAGTGGTCAGGGGCCCCAGGAGGAGACAGATGGCCCACTCAGGTTGGGTCATTCGAGGAGAATGTAATCAAGGGATGGTGTGCAGAAGTGTGGGTAGGATGTAAGAGAATCTCAGACATGTTGCAGACCTTGGACCAGAGTAGGGTGCTGCCCCCAAAACCTGAGACAGAGCACAGTCTTAGCGGCGAGGGACCGGCAGGGGCTGAGCCAGGGCATCAGTATCTTGTCCTCGCCCATCTGGAGGGAAGGGAGCCATTGATGGAGTCCCCACCGTGCATCAGCCTCCTGGATCCCAGAGCCGGGCGACACGAGGAGAGAGGACCCAGGGGGCAAGCAGAAGACAAGGTTGCCCACAGCCTCGGGTCAGGGAGGCAGGATGATGCAGACGCGGTGGCAGATTAATGGCAATGGTGAGAGCTGAAGTTGGGGTGGGTGGTGCTGGGCAGCCTAAGCAGATGATGGTTGTTGGCTGGGAGCAGAGCTCTGCACACCCGTGAGCAGGGGAGGAGTGAAAGATGACGGGAGAGCAACCAAACTGGGAACGGGGTGGGTTGGGGTCCAGTAACCAGGCACTGGGAAATGTCCCTGGTCAGTCCTCCCTCTAGGAAAAGCATCATTAAAGGGAAAAGAAAGAAACAGACTAGTAACCCACAAAGACTGAGTAATAGTGATGAAAAATACAAAGTGAGCTCCCAGCAACTGATGAGCCTTTCTATCTTGGGAGGCGTTTTTATGAAATTGGCAGAAACCAGAATTTCCAAACTGTACCTGCTCTTAATTTCTTTTCCCTGAAAGTTGGACCCACCTGGTACGTGAGAAAAACATTCTTGAACAAATAGCCTGATAGGAAGCCGCCTGTCTCCCACTTTTCACTTCATCAGACTCTGCCCTTGAGCTGGGTTCCTCCAGCTTTCTTTTGCTCGCCCAGGGATCTTGATAAGTGCACATTCCGATCCAGCAGGCCAGGGGTGAACCCAGGGGTCCTCTTTTGCACCAACTCCTCAGTGAGATGCTCGTGGTCTCTGGAGCCACTCTGGGTCCTGAGGTCCTGAGAGGCCTTTTCAGTGATTAGTTGGGGGGAGTGGGGAGCGGCAGCTGTGAGTTCATCACAGGTATGAGAACCAGATAGTAAACATCCATACCAAAAAACTGCTTTTCAAAGGAATGAGCATTCCACCCCCCACCCCACCACCACCTTTCTGAACACTTAAAGCTCTGCATGTTCAGCAGATGTGTTCCACTGGTACACACAGCTTAAAAGCAAATGCTTCTGCAAGCAGAATGGCTCCTGCACATTGTAAATTAAGTGTTAATTGCAGTGGCACCTTAAATAGATTGGCCAGGGTGGTTTTTTATTTCCTTCTACTTGAAATGGTTCTCTAGCCCATATGCTAGATGACTTTTCACCACCACCCCTCTCTCCCTGGTCCCCTGCACACGCTAAAAGTGGTTTTCTGCAACTTCTTGAGATGATTTGCACCCGTGGATGGAGGCAGATAGTTCAGGAGCATCTGTAAACACCTCCTTATCACCACTGTCTGCAAAACTGGCCGCCTGCCCTTCTGACTGTAGCAGTAAATTTCAGAAAAGGCAGCGCCCAAGCATTCGTCTCACTCATTAAATGAAGAGGGCTGTTACAGGTCTGCTGGATTTGAAAAGCACAGGGCATTTGAGGATGGCGATTCCTCACAGTCTCGCTGAAGGCTCTCCTTGGCTGAGAATAAGCCATGCAAGGGCAGCTGGTGTCCTTCTGGCCTCTCAGATCCCGAGGGTTATAAACTGGGACCCACGTTTCATTTGTTATCCATTATTATTTAGTTCTAGTGCTTGGGTGATGAGTTCAGAGCTAGGGTGTACTTATTGTCATGTGACTGTTTATTTTGAAAATTAAGGCCAATGAGATAGAAAAATCCATTCAAATTTCTCCCTCAGACACTATGCCCACCCCTACCCCATTGCACTGCCTCTTCTTGAACTTTTTTCTTAAGCAGAATGTAGCATTTGCCAGCATTTGGGGTCTGGATATACCTGGGTCCAGTCATCATTTTCTTCACTCTTTCCTGATGTCATCTCAGGCTCATACCCACTCAGACTCATCAAGCAAAACAGGTTCACCCATAATCTCTGGTTCACACTAGATTGCATGCATGCTAAGTCACTTCAGTAGTATCTTTTTGCAATCCTGTGGAGTGTAGCCTGCCAGGCTCCTCTGTCCATGGGATTCTCCAGGCGAGAATACTGGAGTGGGTTGCCATGCCCTCCTCCAGGGGATCTTCCCAGTCCAGGGGTCAAACCTGCATCTCGTGTCTCCTGTATTGGCACACAGGTTATTTATCACTAGCCCTACCTGGGAAGTCCTCAGACTAGATTATAGAGAATTAATTCACTTCAAGTAGAATCATCCCCTCAGTTCAGTTCAGTTGCTCAGTCGTGTCCAACTCTTTGTGACCCCATGAATCACAGCACGCCAGGCCTCCCTGTCCATCACCAGCTCCCGGAGATTACTCAATCTCATGTCCATTGAGTCGGTGATGCCATCCAGTCATCACATCCTCTGTCGTCCCCTTCTCCTCCTGCCCACAATCCCTCCCAGCATCAGGGTCTTTTCCAATGAGTCAACTCTTCGCATGAGGTGGCCAAAGTATTGGCGTTTCAGCTTCAGCATCAATCCTTCCAATGAATATTCAGGATTGATTTCCTTCTGGATGGACTGGCTGGATCTCCTTGCAGTCCAAGGGACTCTCAAGAGTCTTCGCCAACACCACAGTTCAAAAGCATCAATTTTTCGGTGCTCAGCTTTCTTTATAGTCCAACTCTCACATCCATACATGACCACTGGAAAAACCATAGCCTTGACTAGACGGACCTTTGTTGTCAAAGTAATGTCTCTGCTTTTTAATATGCCGTCTAGGTTGGTCATGACTTTCCTTCCAAGGAGTAAGCGTCTTTTAATTTCATGGCTGCAGTCACCATCTACTATAGCAGTATTCCAGTAATAGTGATTATTACTGAGTGCTTACTGTATGCCAGGGGTTGTACCAAGGCTTTCCATACAATGGTGCGTTGCTGTGCCAGACACCTCCATGGGGTGGGGGAGAATCACTTTCCCAACTTCACAGGAGGGAGACCAGGATATCCCATGGATCAGTACCTTTGATCAGGGGCACTCAGTTGGGAATAGCAGTATTAGGCCTGCCCCGAAAGAGAGCCCCGGTTCCTAACAGTGCCGTCACGTAGCAAAGGCAGCTGGAGGGGCTTCCACCCTCGTCACATGTGCTCGGGGGGAATTCAGGAGGTGCTCTTGGAAGTTGAGGGGATGCAAATTTGAACAGCCCCTTAATTAGAACACGGCACACTGTCTGCTGTGTGCTGACCTAGAGCTGGACATTGTGCAGTATTCCCCGTGTCCTTCCAGGGCTTTAAGGGGTCCACGCTCATACTGATTGCCACATGACAGGTCAGTAAATTGAGAGTTGA